GCAAAACTAAGCTTCGTATATGAAGGAGAAATAAACATTCTCAGACAAGCAAAGGCTCAGAGAATTCCAAGACAAGACCAGCCCTACAAGAAGTACTTAACAGCGTTACGCACGGAACATCATAATAATAACCACAAATATAAAAACAACCAAAACCAAGATATTAAAGGCAGATATTACAATGGCTCAAGACAGAAATCATAGCAACAACATCCAACCCACAGAATGAACACTAATCTACCTGTACTATCAGTTCTCTCAATAAATGTGAATGGCTTAAACTTCTCCACTCAAAGACATTGGCTGGCTGAATGGATAAGAAAATACAGGCCAAGTATTATGCTGTCTTCAGCAAACACATCTAACCTGCAAGATAATATAGACTAAAAATAAAAGGGTGGGATCAATATTCCAAGCAAATAGAACAAGAAGGCTGTGTGGCAGTTCTAATTTCAGTCGATTTTAGTTTTAAACCAACAAAGTAGTGAAAGACAAAGGAGGTCATTATATAATGGTGAGGACACAGTTCAACAGAAGAGATAACAATTTTAAATATATATGCACCAACTTAGGTGCACCCAGATTCATAAAGCAAACCTTACTGGGCTAAGCAAATGGATTAATAGCAACTCCATAATCGCCAGGATTTCAAACCCCCACTGACGGCATGAGACAGATCCTCCAACAGAAATTAATAAAGAATAATGACTTAAACAAACCCTGAAACAATTGGGTCTGACTGACATTACAGGTTCTACCCAAAATCCACTGAATATACGTTCTTCTCATCAGCTCACGAGCATTCTCTAAGATTGACCATATCCTAGGACACAAAGAAAATCTCAAGAATTTAAAAAATAGAAATTACCATGTACCTTCTCGATCACAGTGGAGTAAAATTAGAAATCAACCCTAACAGGAACTCACATTTCTACACCAAAACAGTGGAATTAAAAACCTCCTACTAAATGATACTTCATAAATGAAGGAAATCAAGATGGAAATAAAAAAATTCTATGAAGAAAACGACAATGGAGAGACAAGTTATCAACTCCTCTGGGACACAGCTAAAGCACTTCTGAGAGAAAGTTTATCTCCATAAATGCCTATACCAAAGACAAAAGATCACAAATAGACAATCTAATGAAACGACTCAAGAGCTGGAAAAAGAGAGCAGACCAACCCTAACCCAGCAGAAGAAGTGAATCAACAAGATCAAATCAGAACTAAATGAAATTGAAAACAGGGATGCTATTCAGGAAATTAATAAAACAAAAAGTTGATTCTTTGAAAAAATAAACAAAATTGACACACCATTGGCTAAGCTTACGAAAGCAGAAAGAGAGAATCTCTATAAGCTCCATCAGGAACAAAAAGGGATATCACAATTGATCCCAAAGAGACACAAGATCAATTTATGAATACTACAAAATCTTTATGCACACAAACTGGAAAATGGGAGGAAATGGACAAATTTCAGAAACACACAGCCTCCCTAGGCTCAACCAGGCAGAAATAGATTCCCTGGACAGACCAATCTCAACAGCTGAAATAGAAACAGATTAAAATATCCCTAAAAAGAAAAGTCCCGGTCCAGATGGCTTCACACCTGAATTTTACCCATACTTACAAAGAAGAACTAATACCTATCTTGCAGAAACTATTCCACAACATCGAGAAGAACGGAAACCTCCCCGACACCTTTTATAAGCGAATATTACTCTGATACAAACCAGGAAAGGATGCAACAAAAAAAGAAAACTACAGACAATATCCCTAATGAATATAGATGCAAAAATTTTCAACAAAAATCTTAGCTAACCGAATCCAGACACTTATCAAAAAAATAATCCACCACGACCAAGTGCTTCATCCAGGGATGCAGGGATGGTTCAACATACGTAAATCTATAAATGCATTTCACCACATAACAGAAGCAAAAACAAAGACCACATAATTCTTTCATAGATGCAGAAAACTTTTGACAAAATTCTACACCCTTTCATGATACGACACTTACGAAAATAGGCATAGAAGGACATACCTAAAAATGATAACAAGCCATATATGACAGACCATAGCCAACATCATACTGAATGGGAAAATGAAATCATTCCCACTTAGAACTGGAACCAGACAAGGCTGCCCACTATCTCCACTTCTGTTCAACATAGTACTGGAAGTCTTGGCTACAGCAATCAGACAGGAAAATGGAATCAAAGGTATCAAATAGGGGCAGAGAGATCAACTTTCACTGTTTGCTGTATGATATGGATATTGTATCCAGAAAACCCAAGATTCAACCAAGAACTCCGTGGAACTGATCATGAATTAGTAAGTCTAGCGGGGTTGGGGTACAAACGGCCCTCGTCTGCTGTATGCTCGTCTTCTTGCTTCTTTCCTCTAATTTCTGCTAGAATCTGTCTTTTCTGCAGAGACACTCTGTCTGGCGGTGTTATTCTTCTGCCATCTTGCTCCCCCCCCTCCTAACTGTGTTCTTATATGGTAGAAGGGGTGAGGGAGGTTTTGTGTTTCTTTTATAACAGTACTAATTCCATTCATGAGGTCTTCACCCTTAGGACTGACTCACATCCCCAAAAGCCCACCTCCTAATACTATCACCTGGAGTGTTAGGATTTCATCATATGAATGTTAAGGGGACACAGACATTCATAACATAGCATTTGGTAAATCCAAAACTGAATAGGTTAGACCAACAAAGTGGAGATTCAGGGAAAAATTGCAGTTTGAGTCCAAAAATGATCTGCTAACAGAATTCCTTCTTGCTCAGAGGAAGTCATTCTTTGTTCTAGCGATTATGTGAAGCTCACCCACATTATGGAGGGTAATCTGCTTTACTCAAAGTCTAACAATTTAAATGTTAATCTGATCCTAAAAACACCTTTGCAGAAACATCCTGAGTAATTGTTTGACCAAATATCTGAGCACCATGGCCCAGCCAATTTGACATATATAATTAGGCATCAGACTAATTCCCAGGCTCTTTCCTAGGAAAGAAAATCATCCTGACACATGAACACCATGTCCCCCCTGTGAATGAGCTAGCCTGTGGGGGAGGTTATTTGAAACCAATCTAAATCCTGTGAAGTTCTGTTTGAGCTGTACCCATCAGGACTCATACATGCAGCCACTGAAAAGAAACCATTTGGAAAGTCAATTAACTTTCCTTTCAAGAGGGTTGTCTCTCCATAGCTCACTCCTCACTCCATGAGGACAATTTAATTCAATCTATAACAAAATATAGGTTACAGAAAATAGGAACACTTTCACATTCTCATTTCTAGGATTAGGAAATTTGGATCCTGACACAGAATTCATCTCAAATTTCAGTATTCGAAGAACTTGAAGTTCCCTCAGTAAAGCTGAGGCTATAAAAACCTATTGGACTTTTGAAAAATACTCTGAACATCTGAATAAAATAAAAGGGCCATTTGCAGATTCAGAATAAGTGTATCCATGTGAACCAGTTTTATACCAAGAAAAGTTAACAGTTTTTAAAAAGTCCAATTTGCATCCTCAAAGAGATTTGTTGGAATTCTGTACCCATTGAAAAAATATCATATAACATTAGGAAATATTGTATTCAGATAAAAACTAGGATTACTAAAATTAAACATACAATGGAAGCAGTAAAGAGTAGATTGAAAAATGCAAATAAAATATTCATTTCTCTTATAACAATTGGGAAAAGAATGAAAGGATGAATAAATTAAGCTTGTGAATAAAAACATAAGGGTATGTTTTTCTTCTATATTTTGCACAAAATCAGATGATGCAAACTAAATGCAACAAGAATTCCAGGAAAATATTCTGTTTTCTCCTCCACATCCCCTTGGCATCTTTCCTAGCCTGCTCTTCATCCCATGAGGGTAACCTGTGTAAGATGGTTACATGGGACTTGCTATTGGCTTCAGTCTATGAAAGGCACTTGCAAGAGACATGAGCATGGGAGGAGAGTAAGACCCACATATCTATTCCTCCAGTTGGCCATGGTTAACAATGATCATGTTCTTTTAGGGAAGGTTACTGCTCCTACATGTAGCCCTTTCATAGATACAATGCCACAGCTGAAGCCCACAGCTCTTTCCAAGCCTTTGAAACCACTCCTTTCCTCTACCTTTTCAGACTCAAGTGTGGCAATGGATCCCCAGCTATTTTTTCTAGGTGCTTCACCATCTTTTGGTTTACTTTAACCCTTTCCATACAATTGTAACTCATTAAACTCTACTCAATTACTCTATTTGAGAATTCTATCATTTGTATGCTACTGGGATCCTAAATGATGTAAGCAATTATTAAGATGCAATAGCAAGAATAGAGGAAAAACTTGAGGCTTTAGATCAGAGTGGCCTAGATAGTAGGAGGAGTTAATGAAAGCAGTTCTTGCTGTGAAATAGTAAGAAAAATACTAAGGATACAGCAAAGATTTAAACAAAAAGAAACATAAAATCATTCAGGCTGGAGGAAAACAAGTTACCTATGCTAAAATAACTTTAAAAGGTCAGGATGACATCAGATCTTTCTTCTGTAACACTAATTGTCAGAAGACATTGAGATCTCATAATGAAATTGTGAAAGAGCCTATCTAAATTACTATTCATGGAACAGAAAGCCACCCATAACCATACAAGAACTTAAAAAGTGTACAATCCACAAAGAGCTCTGAGTAATGTTTTCAAGAAAGGCATAAACTCTGACATACCAAAAAATGAATCACAGTAAACAATTCCAGTAGAGAAAAAATGGGATTTAGAATCAATTTTGAAGGGGGGAAAAGATACTGACTAGAGACATCATTTGCTGGACTATCCTGATGTGAATGTAGGATATTGAATAAAAGAGAGGGAAGGAGAGGTGCAGCTCTCAATGATCACAATGAGATCACAATGAGAGATGATGTAGCCTGCCAGGGACCTCAGAGAGGAAACTTGAAAAGCAGAGAAGAAAGAAGATAAAGAAGAGGAGATATTGGTGAGGATCAAACCCAGAGAGGCTCAGAGCCATTGAAAACGGTAAAGAGAGTTCCCCTCTCCCCTCTATGTGCTTTCAGTGACCAGTGAGCCACCAAGTTTCCTAAAGGCTTTTCCACCTTCCATGAGCCCAGGCATGGTGGCAAACATAGAATAGTGGGGAGAACTTGTGTGATCCGGGAGCTTGGACAGTGCACGGGGTGGGGGTGGTTCCCTCCTAGGAGAGTGATACGAGAGACAGGATAACTGTTTTTCTCCCATTTAGATGCTTCCTTCCCAGCCCCCCCCCCCTTTATCCACTATAATTGGGAAAGCAGTTTGAGCCAAGAGTTTGGCGATCATCCACTTCCCCCAGTGGACATATGCTGAAGCCTGAGGTTTACATGGAGTGTAGAACCCATGCCTTTCCTCTTGGGGTCCTGCAGTGGTCATAGGGGACCTGATTTGGAAGGTCCTTTCCTTCAGTCATTTCACGTGGTCACACACCAAACCAGTCAGACAAGTAGGCCGGACCCAGTGCCCCCTAGACTCAAGCAAGTTGCTGGGTATCACAAAAGGGAGATCTGGGAGCTGGACTTGGGTAGTGAGGAATCCCACATAGACAGAATGGAAGGGTAAGCACTGTGGGGTTCCCAGAGGTGGCATTCTGGAAGACCACAGATCCCCCCAACAAGACAACCACCATATTGAATTAGGGTGTGTCATCCGGAGAGGAGCCCAGTCCTGGTATCCATAGTGACCAAACACTGCACACTCACGCATATGGGCTGACTGGGAGTTGTAGCCCCTCCCTGCACCCATTATAACCAGGTGAGCAATTTACATTGAAAATTTGGCGAGCAGCCTCTTCTCTCCAGCAGGCCCATTCTCCAGGCCAAGGTCTACACAGAGTGGTACCCCTGTCTCTTCCCTGGAGGACTGTAGTGTACAAAAGGTGCCAAAACTGGGAGCACCCTACCCACTGACATTGCTCAAAAATACATGCTAGTGGGTCAGAAACACAGCCCAGGAGGAGTATGAGAGCTGGACCTGGGTGGCAAGGGAGCCCATGTGAACAGAACTGATAAGAGAATGCTGTTGGGGATCAGAGATGCAATGACTTGGAAGAGCACTCAACCTTTCCTGCCGGCAAACTGCCCTAATGGATTAGAGTGGGAAGATCCCAGCCTGGTGGCATAGCAAGCAAGAGTTAAGCCCTCCTGGTTCAGAGGGCCTGGCCTGACTTTCCTCCCAGTGACTCCCACTAGTGGCTGGAAAAACAATATCATGTCCCAGCCATGGCTTCCTAATAGCCTTTATAGGCTCACAAAACCTAACTAAGATCTGCCTTACTCCTCCATCCACCTTTGCTGTAGTGGAAAATAAAATACCTAGGAATATACTTACCCAAGAAGATGAATTATCTCTACAAGGAGAACTACATAACACTGAGGAAAGAAATCACAGACAATACAAGCAATTGGAAATACATATCAAGTTCATGGATTGGTACAATCAACAATGTTAAAATGTTCATACTACTCAAAGTGATTTACAGATTCAATGCAATCCCCATCAAAATGCCAACATCATATTTCACAGATCTATAAAAAAATAATTCTATACTTTAACTCCAGTGAGAATGGCCTTTATCAAAAAGTCCCCAAACAATAAATGTTGGCATGGATGCGGAGAGATAGGAACACTCCTACACTGCTTGTGGGACTGCAAATTAGTTCAAACTCTATGGAAAGCAATATGGAGATACCTTAAAGAGATGCAAGTAGATCTACCATTTGATCCAGCAATTCCACTACTGGGCATCTACCCAAAAGAACAAAAGTCACTCTATGAAAAAAACACCTGCACTCGAATGTTTATAGCAGCCCAATTCACAATTGCAAAGTGGTGGAAACAACCCAAGTGTCCATAAATTCATGAGTGAATTAATAAAATGTGGTATATGTATACCATGGAGTACTACTCAGCTTTAAGAAACAACGGTGATATAGAACCTCTTGTATAATCCTGGATAGAGCTGGAACCCATTCTACTAAGTGAAGTATCTCAAGAATGGAAAAACCAGCACCACATGTACTCACCAGCAAATTGGTATTAGCAGATCAACACCTAAGTAGACATATAGGAGTAACATTTATCAGGTGTCAGGAGGGTGGGAGGGAGGAGGAGGGGATGGGTATATACAACCACAATGAGTAAGATGTACAATGTTTGGGGGATGGACATGCTTGAAGCTCTTACTCGAGGGGGGAAGGGGGGCATTGGCAATATATGTAACCTTAACACTTGTACCCCCATAATACGCTAAAATAAAAAAAAATAAAAATAAAAGAATGGAAAAACAAGCACCACAAGTACTCACCAGCAAATTGGTATTAACGGATCAACACCTCAGTGGACATATAGGAATAACACTTATCGGGTGTCGGGCAGGTGGGAGAGGGGAGGAAAGGATGGGTATATACAACCACAACGAGTAAGATGTGCAACATTTAGGGGATGGTCATGCTCGAGGCTCTGTCTCGAGGGGGTTGGGGGGGGATAGGCAATATATGTAACCTTAACACTTGTACCTCCATAACACGCTAAAATAAAAAAAAAATAAATTAATTCTATACTTTGTGTGGAACCAGAAAAGAGCCTGAATAGTCAAAGCCATCTTAGGCAAAAGGAACAAACAGGGAGGCATCACATTACCAGACTTCAAACCATGCTACAATGCTATAGTAATCTAAGCATCATGTTATTGGCACAAAAATTAGAGACATAGACCAATGAAACAGAACAGGAAACCCAGATATAAAACCATCCACTTACAGCCATCTGATCTTTGACAAAATGGGCAACAATATTCACTGGGGAAAAGAATCTCTATTAAATAAATGGTTCTGGGAAAACTGAATAGCTACATGCAGAAGAATGAAATAAGATCTATATCTCTCACCACTTACAAAAATTAATTCAAGATGGATGAAGAACCTAAATGTAAGCCATGAATCCTTAAGGATTATAGAAGAAAATGTTGGAAAAACTCTTTTAGGTATTGGCCTAGACAAAGAATTTATGAAAAAGACCCCAGTGGCAACACAGTAACAACAAAGATAAACAAATGGCACTTGATTACATTAAAAAGTTTCTGCACAGCCAAGGAAATGATTAACAGAATAAATAGACAACCTACAGAATGTTAGAAAATATTCACAAGTTATATATACAATAAAAAACTAATGATCAGAATCTACAAACAAGTGAACCAGCAAGAATAAATCAAACTACCTCACTGAAAAGTGGGGGAAAGGAACAGAAGCTTTTCAAAAGAAGATAGACTAATGGCCAGTAAACATTTAAAAATGCTCAACCTCTCCCTGCTGTACAACTCGGACTCTCAGAACTTTGCTGCAAATCCACTGAGTCACTTTCCTCCTTTTCCCAGCACTACTTAACTACTTGAAGCTTCCCTGCAATTCCGTGAAGCCAATCCTGTGGGAGCACTACCCACGAGAGTGATTTAGACCACTTTCTTCACCTCCCACTCTGAGAGCAGAGAGCCAGGAGGTCATCCCTAATGACAAGAATGCCCACTATCTCCTCTTTTATTCAACATAGTGCTCGAAGTCCTAGCTATAGCAATCAAGCAAGAGAGGGATATTAAGGGCATCCAAGTGGGGGCAGATGAGATCAAACTCTCGCTCTTCGCAGATGATATGATATTATACCTAGAAAACCCCATGGATTCATACAAGAGACTTTTAGACTTGATTAATGAATTCGGTAAAGTCTCAGGTTACAAAATCAATATGCACAAGTCAGAGATATCCATATATGCCAAAAACCATCAAAGTGAAACTCAAATAAAAAACGCAATACCTTTTACTATAGCCCCAAAGAAAATTAAATATCTAGGAATATATTTAACGAAAGACATGAAAGACTTATACAAGGAGAACTACGAAACACTAAAAAAGGAAATTATAGAAGATGTAAACAGATGGAAAAATCTACCTTGATCATGGATTAATAGAATCAATAGTTAAAATGTCAATATTACCTAAAGTCATCTACAGAATTAATGCAATCCCCATCAAAATATCACCATCATTCTTTACAGATCTAGAAAAAAGAATTCTTCACTTTGTATGGAACCAGAAAAAACCTCATATAACGAAAGCAATCTTAAGTAAAAAGAACAAACTAGGAGGCATTAGTCTTCCTGACTTCAAGCTGTACTATAAAGTAATAATAATTAAATCAGCCTGACATTGACACAAGAACAGAAGCATCAATATTTGGAATAGGACTGAGATTCCAGAGATGAAACCATCTGCATATGGTAACCTAATCTTTGATAAAGCAGAAAAAAAATATACAATGTGGAAAAGAATCTCTCTTCAATAAATGATGCTGGGTAAACTGGATAGCTACATGCAGAAGAATGAATCAGGATCCCTACCTTTCACCTCTCACAAAAATCCACTCAAGATGGATAAAAGATTTAAACCTAAGGCATGAAATCTTAAGAATCCTGGAAGAAGATGTTGGGAAAACCCTCTCAGACATTGGCCTAGGCAAAGAATTCTTGAAGAAGACCCCCAAAGCAATCACCACAGCAACAAAACTAAACAAATGGGACCTGATCAAATTAAAAAGCTTCTGGACAGCCAAAGAAACTATCATTAGAGCAAATAGACAACCTACAGAATGGGAGAAAATATTTGCTCTCTACTCTTCCAATAAAGGTCTGATAACAAGAATCTATCTAGAGCTCAAAAGAATTAACAAGAAAAAAATCAAACAACCCCATCAAGAAATGGGCAATGGAAATGAACAGAAACTTTTCTAAAGAAGACAGAATAATGGCCAGCAAACATTAAAAAAATGCTCAACATGGCTAACCATTAGAGAAATGCAAATCGAAACCACAATGAGATATCATCTAACCCCAGTGAGATTGGCCTGTTTCAAGAAATCCCAAAACAACAAATGCTGGTGAGGATGTGGAGAGACAGGAACACTCTTACACTGCTGGTGAGACTGCAAATTAGTGCAACTTTTGTGGAAAAGAATTTGGGGATATCTCAAAGAGGTAAAAATAGAAATACCATTTGACCCAGCAATAGCATTATTAGGTATCTACCCAAAAGAGCATAAAACATTCTATTATAAAGACATTTACACCCCAATGTTTATGGCAGCACAATTTTCTATTGCAAGGACGTGGAAACAACTCAAGTGTCTGTCAATTCATGAGTGGATTATTAAAATTTGGTATATGTTTACAATGTGGAATATTTCTCAATTCTAAGAAACAACAGCGAGCTAGCATCGTTTATATTATCCTGGATTGAACTTAAGCCCATTATCCAAAGTGAAGTGACACAAGATCAGAATAATGGGCTCCACATGTACTCACCACCAAATTGGTAATGACTGATTAACACTATGGTGCTCAAAGGGCAGTGGTGTTCACCAGGGATTCGGGGGTTGGAGGGATAGTCCCACATCTGAGGGATGTGGTGAGCATTGTGGAGGGGAAGGGCATACCTCTAACCCTTGCTGGGGAGAGGCAAAGATATAAAATGTAACCAAAATGTTAAGAAAAAAAGAAAAACAAACATTTTTCAGGTGTGGGGCAGGTGGGAAGGGGGAGGAGGGGATGGGTATATGCATACATAGTGAATGTGATGCACACTGTCTGGGGGATGGACACGCTTGAAGCTCTGACTCAAGGGGGGAGGGGAGACAAGGGCAATGTATGTAATCTTAACGTTTGTACCCCTATAATATGCTGAAATAAAAAAGAAAAAGAAAAAAAAATGCTCAATGTCACTAATCTTCAAGGAAATACAAATTAAAATCACAATAAGATTTCACCTTCCCTCAGTCAAAATAGCCTTTATTAAAAAGTCCAGAAAAAGTAGATGTTGACATGGATGCAGAGAGAAAGGAACAGTTATACATTGTTGGTGGGACTGCAAATTAGTACAACCTCTATGGAAAACAGTATGGAGATTCCTCGAAGAACTAAATGTTGACCTACTGTTCAATCCAGCAATCCTGTTACTGGGTATTTAATCAAAGAAGAAGAAGTCATTTTTATCAAAAGACACCCGCAATTGAATGTTTATCGCAGTACAATTTACAATTGCTAAGATGTAGAATCAACCCAAGTGCCCATGAATTCATGAGTGGATTAATAAAATGTGGTATATGTATACCATGGAGTACTACTCAGCCATGAAGAAGGATGGCCTAATGCCTTTTGCAACAATTTGGGTGGAACTGGAGAACATTATCCTAAGTGAAGTATATAAAGCAGGCGTCCTCAAACTACGGCCCCACTGGCCACATGTGGGCGTTTTTGCTCATTTGTTTTTTTACTTTAAAATAAGATATATACAGTGTGCATAGGAATTTGTTCATAGTTTTTTTTAAAAACTATAGCCCGGCCCTCCAACGGTCTGAGGGACAGTGAACTGGCCCCCTGTTTAAAAAGTTTGAGGACCCCTGATCTAAAGAATGGAAAAACAAGCACCATATGTATTCACTATTAAATTGGAACTAACTGATGAGCACTAACTAACTGCATGTGCATAGAGGCCAGTAAAACTCAACCAAAACCAACCATGGGCAAGGGGGAGGAGGGGACAGGCAAATTCCTACCTAACAGGTACAGTGAACACTATCTGGGTGGTGGACACACTTATAATCCTGACTCAAGCATTATAAAAGCGATCCATATAACCAAAAACATTTGTATCCGTGTAATATTTTGAAATTTAAAAAGCAATTGTGATTATTACTGGGATCAACAATATTTATGCTCAGTGTTGAAATAATTGCTAACATGTGAAACTTAATAAACATCAATTTTTAAAAGACGTGACATGTAATTATAAAATAAATTAATATAGTTCTATTATCCCAGATTATTTTAATAAAAATTGCAATGAAAGGGGAGAGAGGTGAAAATAAATTGTTTCAGTATTTCTTTATTCTTTCTATTAATATTTAAGTTAAAAAGAATGAGCCCACCATTTTTAGTTGTTTCAAAGGAAAAATATATTTCAATGTGTAATTACCAAAAAAATAAATAAAAATTCTAAATTATAAACAAAATGAAAAGAGCATGTTATAGTAAAAAGTCTGAACAGACATGTGATAAACCATTAATAGTGCTTACTCCTGAATTGTGAGATATTGGGGACTTTCATTTTTCATAGTTAGAATGCCTATATTTTTCTATAATGCACATATATTTACTAATGTAAAAACATTTACATAAATTTCCACATCTTTTAAAATGAAATTAAACCATAATGCTTTTAATTTCTTTAAATTTATGCATCTTTGTTCTTTCTCAAAAGTATCTGAAGCAGTATTTAAGTCTATTAACTAGACTTAAAATTAATTAGACTTAAAATGTAAAGACGAAAGATGATGAATCTGGATCAAGTTTGGAAAATTCTGGTCTTGGAGACTTCTGGGAACTTGAGAGCAGAAGGATACTCAAGTATAAGTAAATGTAGTAATTAAATAATGTAATAATTTCAAAAATGTATGAAAATGTCCTAGAAATAACTAGAATCAGCAAAACGACTTTTAAAAATCAATAATCCCAAATGCTATGTAAATTGTGAGAGACTTTCTGTTGTGTATATCTTTTTGGTTTTCTCCTCAATTCCCACTTTCTAAGAATTTCCCTCCCTTGAACCACAGAGTGGCAAGATAAGTGGCCATGTGCACTTGGCCCCTACAGTGGGTCACAGGGGGCACCTGAACCAAGCTGGGATTCCAGACTTGGCTCAGGTGCCCACTATGGCCTGAAAGAGTCAAGCCATTCTCTCTCCAGAGGCTTGGCATACTAAACATCCAATGTTGGGACTATTGCTGGCAGCATTCCTCCTTGGGGATTGCAGAGCTGAGGAAGCTGGTTTGCAAAGACAGAAAAGAATGAAGAAGGGCAGAGTAGGGGCTATAATGCTTGGATGTTATTCTAGATTTTTCTTCCAGTTTTTTCTTGCACTCCAGGTATATTCTTGTTTTCAAGATCTTGAAGACACTCCAGGATCCTGAGGCACTATCCTGCAGTAGTGCAGATCATGGAGATCATGGGCTATGACTTAAGATTGCCTGGATTTGAATCTTCATTACTAGGTATGGGGCCATTTGTGAGTTCTATCACTATAAGCCTTGGTTTATTCATTTATAAAAGGGAGATAATATTAAGCCTCATTTTAGAAGATTGTGGTGAGGATTAAATGAATTAATACATTTTAAAATTTGATATAAGTGCTGAACATTAACTATTAATGATATATAATATTAATAAATTATGTTAATAGTAATAAATATAATTACTTAATAATATAATATTGATAAATTATGTTAATACTAATATGTTACCATATTAGTTAATATGGTAACTATTAATATCCTTATAGTAAATTATTTTTTCTGTTTAAGCATTTACTCTCAAGAGCCCATGCAGATTTGTAATTTCTTTCTGAAAGTACACCAGGAATGATTACAAAACTTGGGACTGGTGATATGGTGGGAGGCAGGGTCCCGACTAAGTAACAAGAAAGAACTTAGTCAAATAGTTAAATGTATGAGCTACTCAGTCAGTGAGTACAGTATTTATATCCTTTTCATTTTTCTTTTCTTTTTTTTTTTTTTTTTTTGCTAGTCATGAAATCTTAGGCAAATTACTGAGCATTAAATCCCTTATTTGCAAAATTTGAGTAGTAATAGATCTGGCTCATAGAGAAGTTGTGGGATTTTTTAAAATGAGAATATATACCAGACATCTGGCACATAGGAATACTAAATACTTTATTATTTTAATTATTATTACTAACTCCACATTCAGATGAACAACATCCAAGTTGATACTTCCTTATTAAGAGACATGTGACTCATCAACATGCATCTTTCCCATAATTCAGAATGTTTGAGCCACAGTTTGCTCTTTTTATAGATGTGTTACTGGAATTTCTTGAGGTTGTGAGGTCAAAGAAAACTTCCCCTTCGACCTCTGAAGGTTTACAGAAAAGCAACTGACAAAAGGCAGATTAATAGGAGAAAAGGTATACAAAATTTATTTGAACATGCATAAGCACAGGGGAATCACATGATAATAATTGCCCAATAACCCAATGAAGTACAGAAGCTTATATATCCTTCTTTATGGTGGGAGGATGGGAAATGTAGACAATTCTTTCAAGGGGCAGTAAATGATTATTAGGGAGAATGAATGGACCCAGGAGACAGAAATTAACTTGTAAACGATTCTCTTTGAATTTTTTTTAAGACAGGATCTTGCTCTGTTGCCCAGGCAGTGGTATGATCATAGCTCACTGCAACCTCAAACTCCTTGGCTCAAGCAATCCACCTACCTCAGCCACCCTATTAGCTGGGACTACAGATGTCCACCACCATGCCTAGTTAATATTTTAATTTTTTGTAGAGATGAGGTCTTGCTATGTTGCCCAGGCTGGTCTCAAACTCGTGGTTTCAAGTTTGAGTTCCTGCCTCGCCCTTTCAAAGTACTGGGATTACAGGTATGAGCCACCATGGTGCTGGACCAGCCTCTCTTTGGAATTTGAATGAGCCCTGAGAGGAAGGCATTGTTTTATGAACAAGTTTGCACAGGCATGGTTGCATTCCTTAGTTCTTGTTTTCTGCAATAGATAATGAGATTTCAGGAAGAGGATGGAAAACAATTGTGTTCCTCTTTGGGGGTTCAGTTTCTAGATATATAAGGGAACTTTGGAGAAAAGCTTTATCCTGTGCTTTGGGAAGGACAAAGGGTTGAGAAAAAGGAAGAGGATAGAGGTCAGAGAGACCTTGAAACTGCTTCTTCAGTTCAGTCATATTTCAGGGTATACATTTCCAGGTCCTACAGACAGATCAATTGAACCAGGATTTCTGAGTATTACAGTGAAGGACCTATATTTTCATTATTTATCAAAGTTTGAGGGAGGCATATCTTACACATGAGTGTGAAAGCTCAACATCATGCTTATAGAATGTTTATTTTAAAAATTTCATCTAGTGCTCCTGAGAAGCACCCAGGGTTAAGAGTGTAAGACTTAAAGAAAAACTTCCTTTGCTAAAAGACCTCAGAAATTCAAATTACTTACTTAATTACAGGGTGCCCTGAATGGAACTGGTTTGTCTCTTTTGTTCTACCCTGATTCTATTTTTGAGGCTATGTGTTCTTACTGGGGCCTACTTGGAGGAAAGGGTCAGAATGGCTCAGAGAAGCATGGTGGTCTGTAGAGAGAAAGAGGCTTGTTGAGTTTTCATTCAGACATAAAATTGGAAAGCTAACTTTATTACAAGATACTATATGGTCCTAATTTGTCACCCCTCCTGGTATACATGCCTTTTGCATTATATCTTTGAAATCACCTCCCACTCTGTGTGGGCTGTTCTGCCCTATCTTCTGCCTCTGGGGTCAGCTATGTGACTTGCTCTGGTCATTGGGATATTAGCATATGTGAAGCAAGCAGGGGCATGGAAAAGTGCTTTATGTTTCTGTTAGCTCTCTTGTTCCTAGGCCTTTTGTCATGAGAATGTCGGCTACTGGAGATATGATTCATGGATCAAAGTTATGTAGCTGAAAGAGTTCAGGAAATGTTACCCCAAAACATGCTGCTTTGGTATACTGATTATTTTGAGCTCAAGGTACTTGAAAAAGAGCAAATATAAAGAGAGGCTTTCTCTAGCCCCCCTTATTTGCCTAAAGAGAGATCCTCCAAAAGGAACTCAATTGTCATAAAATCTCCATCCTGGGAGTTTCATAAACCAAAGAGGATCAACTCATATTTCAAAAGAGAAGACTAGAAAACATCACCACACACAGACAAACTTTGTCACTATCACCTATTCTTCTAAGGGCCCTTCCTTTTTGCCCCAAATCATTTACCCTCCCCTAAATCGCCTATATCCTCCCTTCCCTCTCCCCTATAGAGGTATATAAGCTCCTAAATCTCTGGTTTACTGGAATTCACTTTTCTTTCCTATGATGCCCCAATGCATGTAACAAATTTGTATGTGTTTTCTCCTGTTAATCTGCTTGTTGTCAGTTTATTTCATAGACTCATTTATCAAACCATCAGAGGGTGGAGGGAAAGTTGTTCTTCCTCTACATAGCTAACTTGTCCCACCTGGGGCTATCCTAGATAAGCTGTTGATCAGCCAACCTCCAGAGCCTAGCCAAAATGTCAGAGCTGCCTACCCAACATGAAGTTGACTACAGATGCATGAGTGAGCCCAAGTGAGACCAGAAAAACTGCCTACCAACCCAAGGTTTCATGAGTTAATAAATCTTTATTGTTTTAAGCCATTGGATTATGAACTTATTTACACAGCATTATTTTAGCAATAGATAACTGATGCATGCAGAAATCAAGGTATAGAACAGGAACCATGACCACAAGAATTACGTAAATTTGAAAATTCACACAAATTATCTTTCTGAATTTATCTTATTCTCTGTATCTTAGTAGGTATTAATATTAATAATATGTCAAAAATTGGTAGGGGCCTTGAGGAGTAGAGGGAGGGGGAAGTAAATAAGAGTGGAAACATCTCTAAAGAGAAGAGGAAATTTGTGGTTAGAGGAAGGTATGGAATATAGGGCAAGAAAGAAAGAAGAATGTAGACAACAGGACTGAGCATGCAAAGTGGTCTTGAGAAAATAAAAAATTAAAGAATTTGTGGTAGAACCTGATTTTTTACCTTACTTTTTAACCATGCATGATTCCTACTCAAAGTGGTCTATTTAACCATTACTATAATTCTATGACCCCAGATTGCTATAATTCTGTGACCCCAGATTGAGATCCTCACCTGAGCCTTTAGTCTGAGTCTGTCCAGCCAATTATTTGAGGAAGACCTTTTAGCATGTTCCCTTGCTATAGTCTAATTCTATAGTGCCATTCTTCTTGAAAACAATAGCTATGTGGATATCAAAATTGTTTTAACTTATTTAACTTAAGTCCCAACCTTTGATTTAAAAAAATAACACCAAGTTAATCTGAATAAATAAAAGGCATTTATTTTAAAATTCCACAAAAGTTCTCTGGGCTATAGCCTTTCTGGAAAACTGGATTCTGATTCCTTACCTCATTATAATTTTTTATGATTTAAAACAAATTATAAAATATTTAGAAGACAGTATATATGTGTAATATTAGTACATTATCCAATGGCAGAATCAATAAATAACAATATCAAGAGAATAATAGATCTGATTAAGTAAAATCAAAAAGTGGTTACATTACAAAATGAAATAAATCAAAGTGAAAGCCAAATAATAAATGAATAAAATATTTACAATAGATATGACAGACATTGGTTTGATAACTTTAATATAGGAAAAAACCCTTCTAAAATAATGAGAAGTGACAAATTACTATAGTAGAAAAATGAGCAAAACACATAAACTGCCATTTTACATAATAAGAAATATTATAGTCAACAAGCATGCAAGGTATTCAAACTCACTAGTAATAAGAATTGCAAATTAAGACTTTTGCTTCTGACCAAGGTGCACTAACAGGGATTGAATTTACCCTCACACCTGAAATGACTAAATAAAAGAGAAATAAATATATGAAACAATGGGTTTCAAGACACTGGCTTTCAGGTAATAAAAACCAATGCTCCCCATGAGATAGGGAACAAACCTTGAGGTGAGGTGAACCTTGTGATAGTAACAGGTTACTGCCTGAAGAGTTTCTAAGCTAAGAGGCAACCCAAGGAAAAGATGGAAAACTCCCTGAGTTGAGGAGACTAAGCTGAGTGTCCAGGGAGACCAAGACATCTAGAGTTCCAGACATCTAGAGTTCTAATTTCACAGAATATTAGAAAGGAGAGAGATTCACAGAGAAAGAATTCCGTCGGTCCAGAGATCTATAGAAGGCCCTCCTTAAGTATTCAGCAGAATACTGATCAGAGATCTGATAGTTAGTGATAGAAAACCCAAACCCAGGGGAAAAATCATTTGCAAAGATTAAGGTATTACACAATACTCATAAAAGGCTGGGAATAGTGCCTATTCCCACAAGCCAGACCAAATATACTTGGAATTCATGGGATATTGGAGGAGTAGAGGTAGGGGGAAGTAAAGTAAAATTAAAAATTAA